GGATTTTTTTTCCATTAGATACTTTTGACGAATTTTTAAAAAAAATTCGACAGAAAATTATTCTATCGGAAAATATGTTTTTTTCCACGGATTTTTTGTCGGGACATTAAATTTACAACGAAATTTATATCCGTCGAAACCTATTTTAAAAAAAACCCCGCTAAATTACCAAACCCCCCCCCCCCTCCCTTCATTTTCTCCTCTTCTTTGCCTTTGTCCTTCACTTTCTCTCTCCTCTCATTTTCTCTTTCCTCTTCTTCTCAATCTCTCTTTCACTTTTCATTCCTCCCTCCTCTTTCTCGGTCATCTTCTCCTTCTCCCTCCTCTTTCTCTTCTCTCTCTCCGTCCACCTCTTCTATCTCCGTCTACCACCAACATCAAGCACCGTCAACAACAACACTACAAATTCCTCCTCTTTTCTCTCCATCCATCACCAACACTAACAACAACAACGACGCAACAACAACAAAGCTAACAACCACCGTTGCAAGCCACCCACTCTCAAGGTTTTTGTTAGTAAATGTAGTTTAAATTCAGGTTAGATTGTAAATCTAGTTAATTTAATTGTAATGTTAATTTCTATGTTTTATTTCATAATTGTATATTTATTTATTTATTGCTTTAATTTTTGTTGCGTAATTAACGTTTTTTATGAAATTTTGATTATATATGTAGATCGACTGGTTTTGATATCTTTGTGTGATATTTTTGGACTGTGTTGTGTTAACTTTTGTATTTTTGGAGTAATTTTTAGGGTTAATTTTCGGTTTTTGCTTTTTTTTTTTTTTTTGCTAAGTTTCATTTTTTAGGGGTTAATTTAAGGTGTGGTGGTGTCGGTGGTGGTGTGTGAAGATAGGACAGGGGTTGGTGTGACCATGTGAGTGCGGTAAACGATGAGTTTGTGGTTGGGGTCGGTGTGCAGTGGGGTCTGTTGGTTGAGCTGGTGGTTCAGGGGTGGGGGCTTGTGGTCTGGTGTGGGTAGTGGTGGTGAGTTATTTTATTTTTTTAATAGGATTTTCTGACTGAATTACAGTCGAAATTTTTGTTCTGGCGGAAAAATATCCGTCCGAAATTTCTGATGGGCTTTTGCGGGCCAAAAAATGTCTTTCGATAACCTTTTTCGACAGAATTTTCGTCGAAAACGGGTTTTTTTTTACTGAAAACGGGGTGTTTCTAACAGAAAAATACTGTTGACAAATCGCTTGTTTTCTAGTGGTGTTAACGCATTTTAATTTCTGAAAGGATAAGAAAGTGTAACACACCAAGGTATTTATGATGTGCCATGGTATTCTATACCATGCCACAGTGGCAAATACCGAGGCACAATGCATGTTTTTGCTACGGCGCCTCATTTCTAAGGTTTTGGACCCCACCCTTCATATTTCCTCTAAAAATACGAGGCCGGTTTCATTGTCTCAGGGCACCAATTCACACTCTCTTTCTCTCTTACTCTCTAGCTTAAATATTTACCTTGCCTTTTCCACAATTCATCCCTTAAGCACTCCTTGAACTCCATACTTAACCCGAAGTTCCTTACTTAAGCCAAGGCGTGAAAAATAGTATTGTTTGAGGGTTTCGCCCCAAATTAACTCTACTTTAATTTAGTTTAATTTCATTATTGTTTATTACTTTCTTTAAAGTTACTAACTATAGGGAATATTAACGCCTCACCTTACATGTTAGTCAGGTTTTTAAGCATGGCGGCGCTCCAAGGAAAATAAGCTTGAAAAAAAGAGTTGCTAACAAGTTTTAGGTACTTGTAAAACCATGCATTCACAATTGTGAAGGTTACATCCCATTTACAATCACAAAGATTACTAACTCCATAGTGGTCTGGAACCATGACTGGATGTTTGGGGATCATAGTATGAATTCAACCTCAAAGAGATCAAACCCGCCCTAAATAAAGCTCTACTTGATTCTATTGATATTCATGTGCACATTTCAATTATCATATATACATCAATTTAGCCCTAAACCTTTTTAATCTACGTTGGTTGATTATTAATACACAATCAATTCTAATATTGGTGATCACTTGAATTAAATTCATATTAAACCTAAATTCAATTATTAATTATATTATTAGGCATGATTTTAATTATAAATTCCCTTTAAACCTACAAAAAGAGTATGATCAAGCAATAAAAATAAATCATAGATAATCATGCAACGTATGATCAACCTCACACTTTAATCATCATCAAAACATCGGTATTAGTAAGATTCTAGACATGATACTAAAACAGACTAATAACGACTCCTAGCATGTTACCAATAATAAAACTTAAATTAAAAGTAGTATCCTAAACATGATGATAGTAATAAAAAAAAGAGTAATAATTGAAAAGGCTCATTAGATTACTCACTTCGATGCCTCAACCTTCTTGCTAATAAAACAATACACATGTTAGTAAACTTACAAAAAGAATAAAATCAATAATTACTAACGAATTAAATTATTAAGAATTGAAATATAAATTTGAGACCAAACCCTCAGAAATATCAACCTTTCACGTCAAGGTCAAAGGCAACGGTCGAGTATGGTTTGGAGTATTCGAACCACGCAAATGAAGTATTGTGTTTGTTTGGGATGTGTTTAGGCTAAGAGCATTGGTTTAAGAATTCTGGGAATTGGGATGATTAGGATGATGGAAGGTTTGTAGATGATGATTGTAGCTAATTCAAGCTAATTCTCGCCGATCTTAAAACGGGGAAAACGACCCCTATTTATAAGGAAAAAAAGAAAGAATAGAACAATCAGAAAAAGATCAGAAGTTTTAGACACAACAGAATTTCTCTGACAAGGCGCGATGCGGTGGCACCTAATGCATTGTGATAGGCTTGCGCGATGCATTTGACCCATCATTGCGTGTCAGTTCTTGAAGATAGCAAAGATTTTACAGATTTTTGTTTTTAATGGATTTTTTGTGCGAAATATATCTAAACGTCTTTGTATTCGAATAAAACAAGTATTGCCTTATGAAAAGTTTTTTTCAATCTCGTACTTTTTCGATCTTTGCCTTTTTGGAGAGGATAAATTAGAACCTTATAGAGTATTCTAGAGGATCCTAATTGACTTAGGATTAGGAACAGAACATGATCATATAGGTCCTAAATAAAATATTTGGCTTCATATAATCGTAAGGCCGTAGCTAAGGTGGGCCTACACTCGGTTTGGGCTAGGTTTAGTATTTTGGCCATATCTCATTTGTTTTAAGTTGGATTTGGGCTTATAATATATGGGTGAAAAGCTCCTTTCGAGCCCCATCCAACTAAGCAATTATTGAAAACAGACCAAAATAATGAGATTGAACGTTTTTATAACTTGTGCAAGAAATAAATTATTTTAAGGAAACAAAATGAATGTTATAGGATTTAAGGAAACGAAATGAATGTTTTGGATTTTAAAAACACTTTGGGTAAGGTTATAAAAATGGTCAAGTCTTAGAGAAACTTTGCGCGACTCTTCAACCCTTTGTCGAGCTCATTAATCAAAACGTGAAAGGTACTCATCACTGGGTTTGTTTTTGGGGAGACATAATTAGTTGTCTACGCTAACACTTTATTTATGATATAGCAATTTAAAGATGCACGAGACGTGAGTAATCGATTCATTTAATTACTCTTATTTTTTCAGGTTTAGGTTTTATTATGTTTTGATTTGACTAAAGATATTATGGTTAAATTGCTTCCAATGTTATTGTTATTTTGTTGTTATTGTTGATCAACATATTACATGTTTAAAGGGCATATGTAATTCAAAATGACGATTAAAAAGGTAATTCGGACAACCGGTTTTGTTTCTTTTTTAATCTTATTGTTTAATCAAGTGATCATTAAGATTTAGAGCTATGTGTGCATTACTATTCAACCAATTTAGCCTAATTTAGTTTGGAGCAAATTGAATCTTTGTTTGTATGCCTTTTAGATCGCAGGAAATACTTTTGACTATAAGAATCGAGTAGAGGCCAATACGAGCGAATGTGACTCCATAAATCACTTCGTACCATCATCCCCAATCCTCGTTTAGTGGTCCTCGACCATATTGCGTTAGCAATCTCATGAATTATGAATGGGGTATAACCTTCACCGATCAATCGTTGTTGCCTATTGTTGTCCTTCATTCGTGGTTGCCTTAAATGATCCGTGAACGGTTTACAAGTTTCTTAAAAATGAACTTGTTTGTGGCTCCCTACTTTCCTTGTCCCTAATCATATATGTTATTTATCACTTCTTATGATTGCCAAGCATATTCACACGTGCTTAAGTAGGTGGCTTCGATCGACGCCTAAGATTTCAGACAGAACTCTAGTGTCCAGAAAATTAATTAGTTTTATCTATTTATTCATCTATATGTATTTAGAGTTATTCAATGTGATCTTGTAATGGAAAAAAGAGTTTCAATGTATTTTATATTGGGGATTGAGAGTTCGTGAGGATCCTCTTGATTGTAATTGAGATATTGCTACGAGTGTGCTTCTAGGGTGAGGTCGAGTGAGTAGTGCTCTGAGGGTACTACTAGGGACTTGAATCTTGGATTCAGGTTAAGTGAAGAATAGCTACGTTCTTGGTGATGAGTTTTGGGTATGAACTAGTTAACAAGTTAATTTAGGAACTTGTAAGAAAGCTCATATTGTAATAGGTTGTAACCAGGAGTGTTTGGTTTATTAATTGTAGTGAAGTGTTTGCGTTGAAAATCTCTTGGATGCTCGAGGTTTAACTTCTATTTGGGCTTGAAAGGTTACCTTGTAAAATCCGCTTTGTATTATCTAAGTTCTTAACAGCAATATGTTTTATGTTCCGTGAAAATTAGTTATTAAGAAGCATACTATAATTCAACCCCCCCCCCCCCCTCCCTCTTGTAGTATATCACCCAAATAACACATGTTCAAAATGTGAGTGATCTAATAACAACATTTTATATAATAACACGAGTCATTTTTAGAAGCTTCGAACTACTTAGTGGAATTGAGTTCAAATTTTCAAATGGTCAAATCTAAAAGAATAAAATCACACTTTGTTGTTCAACTTTCATTATATCATTATTGAACCCTTACAACCTCTATAATAGAAATAATAATTGATCAAATACATAATCAACATGTAACAATAAATAATTATAATATGTAACAAATTTGTCAAATTCGAAAGAGAGCAAGAGGATGGCATTGCAAATGTGACGTACGTAATTCTAGAATAAGCTCTTAACAATTGATGGAAGGTGGATATTGAAGAAATAATCTTTCCAATTGACACTCAAGGGATCAAAGTTGAAGGCTTCTTCATCCAAACCATTTTTCCGGGCAGTAATCAGCAACTTTTTCTGTATTTGTATCGGCAAAACTACAAACCACCAAATACATAGTATTGTCAGTTTTTAAAAATAATTATTATTCCAATATATTACTTTTTTATATTCTTTTTATAAAATATACTCCATGCTTTCCAAATTAAAAAACAAAAAAAAACTTAAAATTAAAGTGATACCGTTTCAAACACTGGGGGAGCCAGAGGGGTACAAGGGGGGACAGCTGTCCCCCCACTTCCAAAAAAACAAGCAGATATATATATATTATTGTGGAAAATAACTTAGGATACAAAGTGGATGGTGTGGTGGTGAGTGGAGTTGAACTCTTTACAAAATACCAAGGTTCGAACCTTGTTGTTGTAATATTTCCTCTTTTTTTGTTTTTTTGAAGAATCCTTCCTTTTTTTTTGTTTTTTTGAAGAATCCTTCCATTATATTTATTAACCAATACTAATTTATTTACATAATAATATTGCATGAAGGAAACCCTTAAATTACTATTGTCATTGAACTTTAGTGGAGTATTTTCCATTCACTTTTTTTTCTTTATAATGTTTAATTAAGAAGTATTCCTTTCAATTTTTTTAATTAATATAAACTAAGTAGTAGTATATATATTTAAATGATAATTTTAATTATGATATTGCATGAAAAAAACCCATTAAATTAAGTTTGTCATAGAAAATTATATATTATGACTATTGCATTTAATAACCTATATTATTTAAGGTTCGAATTTATTAAAAATTCCGAACTTATAAACGGTTAGAAATGACAAATTAGAGTTAGAATCTATTTGACACATCAATAGAAAATGGGAGAAAATAAAGAGTCAAATATGAATTGAATTTAATGAAACTTGTGCCTATTATTTTAGCCAATAGAAACATGACAAATTAGAGTTATATGTAGGGACCACATACAACAATTGTATGTGTAGCCTTTATCGGAAAAATTGATATATAATGTTGAATTTTCATTAAGTACTCTGTATTGTGGATTTTTGAGTTGTACACATTAATTATTGAACATTCTGTGTATTTAAGTATTGGTGTTTTTTTCCGAATATTTTTTGTCAAACCATGTAATGTTCATCCGTCCCCCCGATTTAAAATTTCTGGCTCCGCCACTGGTTTCAAACGAACCCATATACGATTATAGGCCTATAGGGGGATTCACTGTCAATTTCCCTACAAAAACTATTAAGGATGCCTACTTGAAGTAGATGAAATCTCCTCCCATTTTTTAGAATCTAACTATTTTTTCGTTTGATTTTATGCATTTAAAAATTATCTATACGAATTTTGACCGTCTTTGATAATTTGCACGTAACAGAACATATAATATACATTGAGCAAGAGTTTAACTTACATGCCCTTGAAGAATACATAGGGTTTGTATAATTCCACTAGCCTCATTGCTATTTTCAGCTCTTTGTCGAAGTTAAGCAAATTACGTTGCAAGCTACTACCACCCATTCGACTAGCCAAAATTAAAGCCTACAAAAAACATATTAACAACAACTATATATAATATAATCACTAAAAATAATGTACTTAGTAAGTATAAATGATTAAAATTACTTAATAGATTTAAACTTTGGAATATACGGGGAAAATAACCAACCATTTGCACGAAAGAGTGCAATAATGAGAAGATGATTTCAAATATGAGTATGTTGCTCAGCACGAAACCTCTCCTAATCTTGACAAGGTTACCCTCACGGTTCGTCCATGGATTTTTAGTGAAGTAGCCAAAAAGAATATCATGCACTTCATTAAAAGATATTGGATTTCTGTACGAGCTTCCAACTTGATATACAATCAAATTTGATTGATTTATGTGAGTCTTCATAGCCACAATAATCGAATTCACAAACATATCTGCAGGTATCTGCATAATACAGGCTAGGGTCATTATTCTTATCATCATATTTTCAAGTTTTATTTGTAATTAAAGTCAGATATAACATGATCTTTAGTTTTAGTATCAAATTAAGATAGCAGTTTTTGTAAATCAATTCAACCAAAAAATTAATCTGATGGTTGAAACCTAGAACCAATTTATATACTCTATAATTTCTAATAAGAATATAAGTGTTTAATATATGACAAATGCTAACGAACGCCCCTGTGGCGTTGGATAAGCTAGCTAAAACTATAAATATTATTCCGTAAAGTAAAAATTAACATTAATTACAACGATTGACGCGTGATTTTGTCATGTTTTTTCTAATTGTTACCACTTTAGGTGATATTTAAATATTTATCGAACGCCCTAGAAGCGTTCGTTAGCAAGATCCTATATATATACATCAATTTAGCCCTAAACCTTTTTAATCTACGTTGGTTGATTATTAATACACAATCAATTCTAATATTGGTGATCACTTGAATTAAATTCATATTAAACCTAAATTCAATTATTAATTATATTATTAGGCATGATTTTAATTATAAATTCCCTTTAAACCTACAAAAAGAGTATGATCAAGCAATAAAAATAAATCATAGATAATCATGCAACGTATGATCAACCTCACACTTTAATCATCATCAAAACATCGGTATTAGTAAGATTCTAGACATGATACTAAAACAGACTAATAACAACTCCTAGCATGTTACCAATAATAAAACTTAAATTAAAAGTAGTATCCTAAACATGATGATAGTAATAAAAAAAAGAGTAATAATTGAAAAGGCTCATTAGATTACTCACTTCGATGCCTCAACCTTCTTGCTAATAAAACAATACACATGTTAGTAAACTTCCAAAAAGAGTAAAATCAATAATTATTAACGAATTAAATTATTAAGAATTGAAATATAGATTTGAGACCAAACCCTCAGAAATATCAACCTTTCACGTCAAGGTCAAAGGCAACGGTCGAGTATGGTTTGGAGTATTCGAACCACGCAAATGAAGTATTGTGTTTGTTTGGGATGTGTTTAGGCTAAGAGCATTGGTTTAAGAATTCTGGGAATTGGGATGATTAGGATGATGGAAGGTTTGTAGATGATGATTGTAGCTAATTCAAGCTAATTCTCGCCGATCTTAAAACGGGGAAAACGACCCCTATTTATAAGGAAAAAAAAAAGAATAGAACAATCAGAAAAAGATCAGAAGTTCTAGACACAACAGAATTTCTCTGACAAGGCGCGATGCGGTGGCACCTGTTGCATTGTGATAGGCTTGCGCGATGCATTTGACCCATCATTGCGTGTCAGTTCTTGAAGATAGCAAAGATTTTACATATTTTGGTTTCTAATGGATTTTTTGTGCGAAATATATCTAAACGTCTTTGTATTCGAATAAAACAAGTATTGCCTTATGAAAAGTTTTTTTCAATCTCGAACTTTTTCGATCTTTGTCTTTTTGGAGACGATAAATTAGAACCTTATAGAGGATTCTAGAGGATCCTAATTGACTTAGGATTAGGAACAGAACATGATCATATAGGTCCTAAATAAAATATTTGGCTTCATATAATCGTAAGGCCGTAGCTAAGGTGGGCCTACACTCGGTTTGGGCTAGGTTTAGTATTTTGGCCATATCTCATTTGTTTTAAGTTGGATTTGGGCTTATAATATATGGGTGAAAAGCTCCTTTCGAGCCCCATCCAACTAAGCAATTATTGAAAACAGACCAAAATAATGAGATTGAACGTTTTTATAACTTGGGCAAGAAAAAAATTATTTTAAGGAAACAAAATGAATGTTATAGGATTTAAGGAAACGAAATGAATGTTTTGGATTTTAAAAACACTTTGGGTAAGGTTATAAAAATGGTCAAGTCTTAGAGAAACTTTGCGCGACTCTTCAACCCTTTGTCGAGCTCATTAATCAAAACGTGAAAGGTACTCATCACTGGGTTTGTTTTTGGGGAGACATAATTAGTTGTCTACGCTAACACTTTATTTATGATATAGCAATTTAAAGATGCACGAGACGTGAGTAATCGATTCATTTAATTACTCTTATTTTTTCAGGTTTAGGTTTTATTATGTTTTGATTTGACTAAAGATATTATGGTTAAATTGCTTCCAATGTTATTGTTATTTTGTTGTTATTGTTGATCAACATATTACATGTTTAAAGGGCATATGTAATTCAAAATGACGATTAAAAAGGTAATTCGGACAACCGGTTTTGTTTCTTTTTTAATCTTATTGTTTAATCAAGTGATCATTAAGATTTAGAGCTATGTGTGCATTACTATTCAACCAATTTAGCCTAATTTAGTTTGGAGCAAATTGAATCTTTGTTTGTATGCCTTTTAGATCGCAGGAAATACTTTTGACTATAAGAATCGAGTAGAGGCCAATACGAGCGAATGTGACTCCATAATTCACTTCGTACCATCATCCCCAATCCTCGTTTAGTGGTCCTCGACCATATTGCGTTAGCAATCTCATGAATTATGAATGGGGTATAACCTTCACCGATCAATCGTTGTTGCCTATTGTTGTCCTTCATTCGTGGTTGCCTTAAATGATCCGTGAACGGTTTACAAGTTTCTTAAAAATGAACTTGTTTGTGGCTCCCTACTTTCCTTGTCCCTAATCATATATGTTATTTATCACTTCTTATGATTGCCAAGCATATTCACACGTGCTTAAGTAGGTGGCTTCGATCGACGCCTAAGATTTCAGACAGAACTCTAGTGTCCAGAAAATTAATTAGTTTTATCTATTTATTCATCTATATGTATTTAGAGTTATTCAATGTGATCTTGTAATGGAAAAAAGAGTTTCAATGTATTTTGTATTGGGGATTGAGAGTTCATGAGGATCCTCTTGATTGTAATTGAGATATTGCTACGAGTGTGCTTCTAGGGTGAGGTCGAGTGAGTAGTGCTCTGAGGGTACTACTAGGGACTTGAATCTTGGATTCAGGTTAAGTGAAGAATAGCTACGTTCTTGGTGATGAGTTTTGGGTATGAACTAGTTAACAAGTTCAGTTAGGAACTTGTAAGAAAGCTCATATTGTAATAGGTTGTAACCAGGAGTGTTTGGTTTATTAATTATAGTGAAGTGTTTGCGTTGAAAATCTCTTGGATGCTCGAGGTTTAACTTCTATTTGGGCTTGAAAGGTTACCTTGTAAAATCCGCTTTGTATTATCTAAGTTCTTAACAGCAATATGTTTTATGTTCCGTGAAAATTAGTTATTAAGAAGCATACTATAATTCAACCCCCCCTCCCTCTTGTAGTATATCACCCAAATAACACATGTTCAAAATGTGAGTGATCTAATAACAACATTTTATATAATAACACGAGTCATTTTTAGAAGCTTCGAACTACTTAGTGGAATTGAGTTCAAATTTTCAAATGGTCAAATCTAAAAGAATAAAATCACACTTTGTTGTTCAACTTTCATTATATCATTATTGAACCCTTACAACCTCTATAATAGAAATAATAATTGATCAAATACATAATCAACATGTAACAATAAATAATTATAATATGTAACAAATTTGTCAAATTCGAAAGAGAGCAAGAGGATGGCATTGCAAATGTGACGTACGTAATTCTAGAATAAGCTCTTAACAATTGATGGAAGGTGGATATTGAAGAAATAATCTTTCCAATTGACACTCAAGGGATCAAAGTTGAAGGCTTCTTCATCCAAACCATTTTTCCAGGCAGTAATCAGCAACTTTTCTGTATTTGTATCGGCAAAACTACAAACCACCAAATACATAGTATTGTCAGTTTTTAAAAATAATTATTATTCCAATATATTACTTTTTTATATTCTTTTTATAAAATATACTCCATGCTTTCCAAATTAAAAAACAAAAAAAAACTTAAAATTAAAGTGATACCGTTTCAAACACTGGGGGAGCCAGAGGGGTACAAGGGGGGACAACTGTCCCCCCACTTCCAAAAAAACAAGCAGATATATATATATTATTGTGGAAAATAACTTAGGATACAAAGTGGATGGTGTGGTGGTGAGTGGAGTTGAACTCTTTACAAAATACCAAGGTTCGAACCTTGTTGTTGTAATATTTCCTCTTTTTTTGTTTTTTTGAAGAATCCTTCCTTTTTTTTTTGTTTTTTTGAAGAATCCTTCCATTATATTTATTAACCAATAATAATTTATTTACATAATAATATTGCATGAAGGAAACCCTTAAATTACTATTGTCATTGAACTTTAGTGGAGTATTTTCCATTCACTTTTTTTTCTTTATAATGTTTAATTAAGAAGTATTCCTTTCAATTTTTTTAATTAATATAAACTAAGTAGTAGTATATATATTTAAATGATAATTTTAATTATGATATTGAATGAACAAAACCCATTAAATTAAGTTTGTCATAGAAAATTATATATTATGACTATTGCATTTAATAACCTATATTATTTAAGGTTCGAATTTATTAAAAATTCCGAACTTATAAACGATTAGAAATTTGACACATCAATAGAAAATGGGAGAAAATAAAGAGTCAAATATGAATTGAATTTAATGAAACTTGTGCCTATTATTTTAGCCAATAGAAACATGACAAATTAGAGTTATATGTAGGGACCACATACAACAATTGTATGTGTAGCCTTTATCGGAAAAATTGATATATAATGTTGAATTTTCATTAAGTACTCTGTATTGTGGATTTTTGAGTTGTACACATTAATTATTGAACATTCTGTGTATTTAAGTATTGGTGTTTTTTTCCGAATATTTTTTGTCAAACCATGTAATGTTCATCCGTCCCCCCGATTTAAAATTTCTGGCTCCGCCACTGGTTTCAAACGAACCCATATACGATTATAGGCCTATAGGGGGATTCACTGTCAATTTCCCTACAAAAACTATTAAGGATGCCTACTTGAAGTAGATGAAATCTCCTCCCATTTTTTAGAATCTAACTATTTTTTCGTTTGATTTTATGCATTTAAAAATTATCTATACG